TGCCTTGCATGCTCAAGGCCCTGGGTTCGATTCCTCAGCACCACATAAGCAAAAAGAAAAAAGCCGGAAGTGGTGCTGTGGCTCAAGTGGTAGAGAACTAGCCTGGAACTGAAGAGCTGAGGGACAGTGCCCAGGCCCAGAGTTCAGGTCCCACGACCGGACCCCAAAAAAAAAATTATCTTTTCTGTTTTAAAGACTTTTATTAGAGCAGTTTTAGGATCACAGCAAAACTGAGAGGAAGGCAGAGAGATTTCCCATTTTTTTTCTTACCCCCTACACATGCATTGCTTCTGCTATTGTCAACATCTGCTACCAGAGTGCTGAGTGTTACAAATGATAAAATACATCATTATCCTCCAAATTCCATTGTTTACATTAGGTTCCTTCTTCGTATATATCCCAAATGTGAGATTAGATAAACATATCAACCAATATAGTATCATACAAAGTATTTTAATTGTCCTTAATATCCTGTGCTCTAAGTTCTCCATCTTGCTTCATCTTATTCCACCTAGACAACCTTTTGAAAAATGCTCTAAAGATATAAGGTATCAGGTGTCCATATCAGAATATATAAAAATACAAAATAAAACTGTATCTGACTATATCAGGAAGCACTAGAGTTAGATAAGATGCTTAATCCATGGAAATAGTTTGATTTCTTACCCTTGCTCTCAAAACACACTTCAAACATATCATAGTCTTCAGTAGTAAAGGCAAACTTTCCCTTGGATGCATCCTCCTTGGAGTACAGAATATGGCCAGCAGAATCTGTGATCTAAAATTAAAAAATAATAATAGTCAGCAAGTAACACTAAGGTAGAATACTTATAGAAATGGAAAGAGACAACAGCTCTCTGCAGGATGACTATGTTCCAACCATCCCAAAGAAAGGAACTGGACTGGAAGATAATAAAACTCAAAAAATAAATTTCACTCATTCAAACAACCTACCTATTGCTCCTACACCAAAAAGTATTAAGCCAAAGATCTATCCAATTACTTGCACTTATTAGGTCAAGACTAGGGATAGAGAAGGGACTTAGATCCCTGATAGTAAGGACAGAAAGTGGCGGGGGGGGGGGGGGGGGGGGAGGGAGCATGCTTACAGAAGACCATCTCTATGGCAGGTCTATTTCTATAAACTTTACATTAATTTTGCTAATGGCACATAGAATAGAGGCAAGATGAGAGGGGGAAGGTGTCCTAAAAAAGGTATTTTTGACTTCCAAATGATCATTCCTTCCTTGTAGCTTCATTGCTTCGCTTAGCTTTAGTCCTTTGAATTTAAACAGCTTCCTTTCTAAAGAATGGGCTATTAGAATATATGAAGGGTCACAGTATTTAAGTAAATGGCTACATCAAAAGCATAGGTATGACACAGTATTTTTTTTCTTTTCTTTTTGCACCTGTCCCTGAGTTTTTTAGCTCAAGGCTAGTGCTCTACCACTTGAGCCATAGCTCAATTTCCAGATTTGGTAGGTTGTTGTTTTGTTTTTTGGCAGGGGGGGGCGTGGTTAATTGGAGATGAGAGTCTCAGGGACTATGCTGACAGGGCTGGCTTTGAACCTACATCCTCTGATCTCAACCTTCTGAGTAGCTAAGATTACAAGTGTGAGCCATCCATACCAGGCTGTGACAGGGTAATTTCCAGGTAAGAGTACATGGCTATCTGAACAAGGCATATTTCACTAGGTGCCAGTAGTTCATGCTGGTAATCCTAGCTACTGAGAAGGGTGAGATTTTAGGATCCTGGCTCCAAGTGAGCCTGGACAACTTGGAGATAAAAATAAAAATCCAAGAGATTTTTATTTCCAATTAACCAGTAAAAAGCCAGAAATGGAAATCTGACTTAAGTGTTTAGAGACCCAACCTTGAGCAAAAAAGCTAAGCAAGAGCATGAAGCCCTGAATAGGAGATTAGGGGGGGGCATATTTCATCATCTAAGACAGGAACCTACTTTGCAATATGAAACACAAAAGCAGTGGCTTTGTTCTGTTAAACCAGATGTCCTAATACTGTTTGTTAAAATAGAATTCTTTTATAAATGAAACTTTAAATTAATAAATTGAGTAGCACTACATTTAAGTTATGCATTTATAAATACTTGCTGACAGTGGTTAATTATGAATGATGAGTTCTTGTGTGTGTGCTAGTAGTGAACTTAGGGCTTCATGTTCTTACTTGTTTTTTTCACTTAAGCTGGTGCTTTACCACTTGAGTTACAACTTTGCTTCTGGCTTAATTGAAGATAAAAATCTCACAGTCTTTTCTCTTTTCAAACAGAGAGCTCAGATCACAGTATCCTGAGTAGATTACAGATGTTAGCTACCAGTGCCTGGTGAAATTGCCTGTGCTTTTTTTTTTTTTTTTTTACTTTCTACAACAACATACATCAAATGTATGGACAAAAATAGTAATAACCCTATTTAATTTTCAAAAAAGTTCCATAATAACTGAAGAAAATAATCATTGATCAATTTGAAAGGATGTGTTGGTGGCCCCATAGCTCAAGTGGTAGAATGCTCACCTTGAGCTGAAGAGCTGAGGGACAGCGCTCAGGCCCAGAGTTCAAGCCCCACAACTGCCCCTGCCCCCCCCAAATCATATAGATCTATTGATCACTGGTTCCAAAGAGTAAGTAAGACAGTTCCTGTCTTCAAAGGGTCTAAGATTAGATAACTACATGAGGAGAGGTATAAAAAAACAGGACTTTCATTTTGGTTTTGATTCATCCTTTCTTGATGATTAGTGAGGTTGGATTCCCTTTTCTCTATTGGCAGTTTGTATGAGGTAATAAAATGCTAATCCAACATGATTTTGGTAATCATTTCACAATGCACATAAAAACAGTAAGTTGTTTCCTTTGAATTTATATATATATATAAATATATAGAATTTCTATTTAAATTATACCAAGTGAAATGAAAAGACTGCTTAACTGCAAAATAAAGAGTGCTCTACTAAAGATATGGACAGGTACCATGCTATGGAGGGTCAGAAAATACTTGGTTAGTAACATATGATGAGTCTTGAAGGATGAATCCTAATCAAAGGAAGAATAGGAGTAAAAACATTCAGGGTAGAGGAGATGGCAAACATGAAGATGTCAAGTGGAATGCCCAAAGTCAAGAAAGTCACACTCTTTGGATCCTTTGGCTCAGTGCAAATCAGAGAGCTGAGTCCTCCCAAGTGAAACACAGCACTGTCTAGCCTATATCCTCACCTTGAGAAATCAGCAGGCAGCCACAGGTAGACCCTGAAGTCTGCGAGAGCTATGTAATCTACAAGGGAAAATTTAGCTCTGAAAACAACTTTTTCTGAATAATCAACTAAGAGAAAGACCATAAAAATAAAAAAAGGACTAATGGAGAAAACTAGATAACCCACATTAAAACAAGGCAAACAAGTCTGAGAACAAGATCAGTTCACCTACTCTAGCACTCACTTCTCTACTCCCATCTCCACAAATGCAATTACAACTCATAAGAGCAAAGAGGAAGCTCAAAAAGTCAACTGTAGGAAAGACAGATTTTCATACTATAAGCTAATTTGGTTTGGTTCCTATAAATAAAGCTGCAGACAACATAGACCCTCTCCAAGGCAAATTCAGGTAAACATTAAGCTTCCTGAATTGCTCAATGAATTAGTTTAATTTTTTTAGGGGGAAAGTAGAAATCACATGTTCCTAAACATTGTTTAAAGTAAAACCAGAGCCAGGCACCAGTGGCTTATGCCTGTAATCCTATCTACTCAGGAGGCTGAGATCTGAACATTGCAGTCTGAAGCCAGCCTGGGCAGGAAAGCCTGTGACATTCTTATCTCCAACCAGTCACAGAAAAAGCCAGAGTTCTGTGGCTCTAGTGGTACAGTATTAGCCTTGAGCAAAAGGAACCCAGGGACAGAGCACCCAGGCCCAGAGTTCAAGCCCCAGGACTGGCAAACAAAGAAACAAAACAAAACAAAAAAATGTGAAACCAGTAGAGAAGAACAGGGACTAAGTACTGAACATCATCACTGGTTTCATCATATCCTTGCTCAGGCAAGGGTGACCAGGTCACCAGCCTAGGACAAACAATTTAACAGGTTTGACAGGATTCAGCCTATATTTGCCCAACAACCACATTCCCTAGAAGAACAAACTACAATCTCTTTATTTATTTTCTCCAAAGACATTAAACATGTCTTTCAAAAAATTTTAGCCAGGTGCCGGTGACTCACACTTGTAATCCTACTCAGGAGCCTGAGATCTGAGAATCAGGGTTCAAAGGCAGCCTGGGCAGGATAGTCCAAGAGACTTTTATCTCCAATTAACCACTAGAAAACTGGAAGTGGCGCTGTGGCTCAAGTGGCAGAGCGCCAGCCTTGAGCTGAAGAGCTCAGGGACACCAACCAGGCCCAGAGTTCAAGTCCCAGGACCAAAAAAAAAGAAAAAAAAAAGCTTTAGAGCCTGGGGTCAATAGTTTATACCTGTAATCCTAGCTACTCAGAGGGTTGAGATATGAAGATTGTGATTATAAGCCAGATCAGGCAGCAAAGTCTGTGAAACTCTCAGCTCTAATTAACCATCAAAAAAGCTAGAGTGGAGCTGTGGCTCAAGTGGTAGAGTGCTAGCCTTGAGCACAAACAGAGATAGCACCCAGATCCTGATTCTGAGTTCAAGCCCCAGGACTGATGCATGCACACGCGTGCATGCGTGCACACACGCACATATGCGTACGCACATATGCACACACACACACACACACAAACACACACACATTACATCTTAAAGAAAGCAGTCTCTAGATCATAACGGTATTTAAACACAGGTCATAAATTCTTATTAGGACATTTAAAAATGCTTGGCAAAATGAATTTAAGAAATTTGTCACATTTTTTGGAATGACTTTAGAACAATCCATACCTCCAAGAGATAGGAGGTGCAAACCTTGCTTGAACTGTTCTCCAAGTTGTACAGAGGAACTGAAATCACAAAAGAACCATTTGTTTTATGTCAGCTGAAAAATTATTAGTGGATCATTCTAGGAAACAAGACTTAACTGAGTTGCAAGCAAAGGACTCACACTGTAGCTTTCTATCAGCATGAAATTTACCTCCCAGAAATAATGCATGATAATATTTATATGGATATTTGGATATCCAAGTAGGCAACTTGACAACTAAATTTCCAGGTTGGGCCAGCTCATTTGGACTGTTGAAATTGTTCTAAACTTTATATTTTCTACCGAGTTCCTATAACCTCACAGACATTTAGTTACAAAAAGATATTAATATCATGGGAAAAAGTCATAGATATCAGCCAGATGGCAATGGTGTATATCTACAATCATAATTACTTATGAGGCTCAGATTTGAAGTCAGCCCAAGCAGATAAATCCATGAGACTCCGATTAACCAGCAAAATGCTGCAACCGCAGGGGTGGCTCAAATGGTAGAACACCAGCATTGAGCGTAAAAGCCAAGGGGTGACAAGTCCAAACAGAGACATACTTCTACCTGACTTATATAACTGTAATCCCTCTGTACATTATCTTTATAATAATGAAATTTTTTAACAGGTTAAGAAAGAAGTTAGGGCCTCATCAGCTGCACCAGACATAGAAGAAAAAGAACTAAGCAACCCAAAGACAGAGATGGGAAGGGAGGAATGAGAAGGAAAGCAGGAACAGACAAGACTAAGCAAAAGGAAAGAAATGTAATCATCACCTGATGTGGAAAAAATAATTTGTATTGTCAAAGCTCATAGAATTCACAAACTGTATAAATGACAATGTG